AATGGTTTCTACGTTTTGAAAATAGCTGTATTCTTCTAATGCTGAAAACTCTTCGACAACCCATGACCGGTTTCGCCCTTCTTGGGGCTCATCAGGTAGGCGCAGTCTCCGAGTTTCCGTCAACCATATGTTCTACCTGAAGCCAAATTGGACTGTTTTCGGGAAATACACTCATTTGCAAATCAATTTGGTTTTCACGAGAGACTCAACTGAATCTCTCGTTTATGATATTCTACAACTGAATATGCTGCACACAGGCCGCCTCATGATTCAGTTGGCACGGTATTCAAGATATCAACATACTGTAAACTACTCACAAGGTTGCTGGAAACTCCTCGACAGCCATAAACGATAGATTCAGTTGAGTCTTTCGTGAAAAACAACTTGATTTGCAAATGAGCCTTTCTCGAAAACAGTTCAATTTGGGTTCAAGCAAAACATAAGTTTGACGGAAACTCGGGGACTGCGCCTACCTGATGAGCCCCAAGAAGGGCGAAACCGGTCGTGGGCTGTCGAAGAGTTTTCAGCAACCTTGTGAGTAGTTTCCTTTATGAAAATATACTGCGGTATCTCGAATATCATGCCAACTGAAACATGAGGCGGCCTGTGTGCAGCACATTCAGTTGTAGAATATCACAAATGATAAATTCAGTTGAGTCTCTCATGAAAACCAAATTGATTTGCAAATGAGTGTATTTCTCGAAAACGAAGTCCACTTTAAGGAGTATCTTCTGAACTACTTGGTGCATATTTTCACTTAAGAAAGCCGCTGCGAAAAACGATGTGGCCAAACGAAATAAACACAAGGTGCTCGTTGGTATTCAAATAAAGATTGTCTGAGAAATCCAAGCTGCATATTACCTCGAAAACAAGTGCACGACTACCTTGAAAAAACAGAGCGACAAGCTACTAAAATAAGTCTATCACTTTCTTGCGCTTACTCCCATATTCGGGTTTGCAAACAATGTTGATACGATAGAACAGCAGTACATTTTCACCTGGTATTTGTTGTTTCTTTCGTTGTGCCTCAACTGACTTGTATTACCTGCCCAGAGATGACAGAACTCATTTGCAGAGACCAAGCATTCCGACCCTGTCCAAAATATTTCATGCTGATATCACTAGCATGAAAAGTTCGCGCTTTACCATCCATCCGTCCGCGCTTTACCACGGTGAATAATTATGTGACCACTGAAGCTATCTGAATCACTGCCAGACATGGTTGCAACTTTACTAAGCCCGATAAAACGCGAACCACCCAGCAGCCCGCTTGACATGTATGTTTGACCGAAAGTAGACTCCACACATATGAGAGTTGTCTCAAACTTTGTTGAAGCATGTCGAACGTAGCTAAGACACAATGGTCTGTTCGTAATAGGGATGACAGAATGATAGTAGCAACAATAAACTTACAGTATCTACCCGGCTACGAGGCACCACTCCTGAACAGATGTTCGCTCCTGGGGGAAGCAACGAACAGTAAAGCCTCCGACGCCTTCCCAAACATGGTAGGGAACTACCCTCGTCTGAGAGGCGTCCAACGGCCTTCGTCATATGGGTTATCAACAACAAGTGACGTGTATTCAAGGACATCAGCTGATACGAAATGGATACGGCAAACTCGATAAACGGTACGTTATCGTTCCTTGTACAGCACTGTTCGGAACCTACGCTACCTTCGACCCACTGTACATACTTTGGCCAAGGCAGTGAGAACAACAAGCTTGTGGGATGAATTCATTTCGCACGTCCGACAGTACCAAGCGACCAATCACTTGCTCATATAAGGGTCCTCTAATTTCGCGAAAACGGATTATCCGAACTAGGCCAAGTTTTCATGAAGAAAACTATTCATAAGGTTGCTGAAAACTCATCGATACCATGAGGTCGGTTTCTTCCTTCTTGAAACTAGTCAAGTATACACGGTCCCCGAGTTTCCATCAACACTATAATTGAACACAGGACTGTAGGCTATTGGCGAAATACATTCATTTGAAAACCAAGTTGATGCTGACGGTGGATTCAATTAAATCCTACCTGCGTCTAGCTAATGAGCCCAAAAAAGAGCGAGTGGTTTCCAGCAACCTAAGAAAATACACTGCGATATCTTGAATATCACACCAACCAGAAAATGAGGCAGCCTTTGTACAGCACAGCCAGCTGGGGAATATCATGAACGAGGTGTTAAGATGAGATTCAGTTGTTTCCCGTTAACACCAACTTAATTTGAAAACCAGTATAGTTCGGTAATAAAGTGTTTTCTTCATTACGAATCTAAGCCAGCCATCACATCAAGCAATCGTTCAGCCTTTCACTGTGGGTAGCCATTAATTATAAGTGTATTTGTAGAAATGTGTATCACAAAGGAATCCCTGTTCAAACAAACCTTATTCATGGCTCAGTTGAGTTTATTGCGACGGGTCCGACTCCAATCGGATGGTCAGATAACTCTTGGACGTGTTTGACAAGTTAGACAGCAACCCTGTAAGCACAAATTTGACAGTGAAGACAAGACCAAGATGCACGATTCAAATTCAGGGCAGGAAGGATGATACAGACAGCTGCGTTGCTCAGATTCGTATTTACATGGCTCCCAGACTTACGTGTGGATGGACGGCTCTCTGCACCATGTTCGTAGATTTAACCAGCTGAGTCTCCCGATAAACGCCAACTGCCCCCCTCAACACGGACAACACACCAGCACTGTCGGTCGTCAAGCTGAACCTTGTAGGGAGCCCAGGTTTAAGGGGTGATTTGCCTGAAATGAAAGAGGATCCGGAACCAAAAAGAACGCACGTACGCTACTAACAAAGCAACGGTCCACCGAAGTAAACCCTTGGGTATCACGACAATATGCAATATCGCGGTCTTGACACACTGATGTATGTGAAGAACATGTGCAATGGTAGTCAGCTCAATCAGTAGTATGAGAAACTAGTTGTGCCACCCAACGGAAGTTGAACAACCGTAAAACGAAACAGTTGGTGATAAGTGTAACGATGAAGATGTTGGAGAATCGATAAATTATCAAAAAGTGAGTGGCGATTGGATAAATCGCGAAAAATTCAAGTACACAAAAAAGAGCGGAAATATGCCCCAGGATAGAGTCGAATTACCTACCTTCCGCCTACGGAACTGTCAAATGATCTACTGAGGACGTGCGTTGGCCGCCACGCCTATGGTCTTGAACTCCCTAGGTGATTCGCCGCACCTCTGCCTATTGGATTAACAACTGACATCTGTCAATACCAGTATGAACTGTACATTGGTATCGTCCAGACAAGCAAACGCTTGATTTTAAATTCTTGAACGGTAGGTGAGGGTGTAGCGGATCTTCAGGTAGGAAGTCCAAGCAGACTGCCGAGAATTTAAGACGTTTGGTGAGTAGCAAGCGAAGTTCAAACCCCGACAGCCTAGTAAGCCGGGCGTCCACCCAGTCAGCAGGTGGCTGGATTCCGGTCCCGGGCGTCTTTCCGCTCTTGTCGTGTACTTGGTTTTCCCATCTTAAGACTCGACAAATACCGAATTATTGCGAGCTGTTTTGTCCTTTGTTTCATCCGTATTGCGCATCGCATACTAATTAATCGACGGAACCGAGCCAAGCTAGAGACATTGCTGATTTGACTTGACCGTATACCGGTGGTGCAAATTCACTGACCAGAACGTCCGTGGTTCGAACCCGCCTTTCGACTTCCCCTGTTTAGGCTTGGGCACTTGGGAGTAAACCAGCCCTCGTGCTTCCTTTGAGTGGCACTGCAGCTAGGCACCGAAAGGGTGTTACAGCTGAATGATTACCAATTTTTTCTTTCGCGTTGTTTGAGGTTAGTCTACTCAGAGTGAAAGTCGCCTAGTAAGTGTGTGTGGGCGGCAAGGAACGTTTCACACGATCCCTCCTCTTAGACAATTAATCATTTCGGGAGACAGGAAAGCTTTTGCCCCGGTTGATTGTCCCCGCAGACAGTAATGCACCGATTGGGCTAAAGAACAATTTTAACCCTATCAAGGTTTTAACCACGTTCCGGTCATGCATGGTATAGGCATGAGTGAGACAAAAATAACATTGTTTTAAGAGCTGGACGTATGAAGGAAATATCTCTAACCCAGGTTGTCACCAAAACTATACTTAGTCATCACCCATGTATAATGCATACACTCAGATTCCACTCTCAAAAGGAAGCTTGCAATTGGTCAAAGAGCAATGTCACGCGGGGATTCCAGCTAAACACATCTTTTATCGAACCGCGACTACATTGCTTCCGGACGGGCAAATAACGAGAGATTAGCATGCAGTAACATTCGGATTCTGTCGCTATCTGACTGACCATAACAAACGTTTATTGACGAACGGGTAAATCGGTGTGGACTTACAAGAAATTTGTCTGACTTTTCACACCGCCCACCTAATGCTGCCTAAACACTCAAAAGCATACCGCCAACTCTGCACAGGGTAGGTAGGTAAGAAAACCGCTCTCGAGAGCACGCTATATCGGCGTGGGCGTGTCCCACAACTGGGTTAGCCATATACCTTACCCAGGCTTTGCAAGAACACACTGCAAATCGTACGGTCGGTGACATTTACCACCAGCGTGCGCCTACGGCCGACAACTTCCCTGCTTTGCCACATTCCCTAGGCGTGTCAATTCAAAATGTTATGCTTGAAATGGTAATCCGGCATACTGAAAATTACAACCAGATCCGATGTTGTGGACGGCCATTTTTGTACGTAGTTAGTTGACCCGTGAAGACAGCACGTAAGACAGCTATATCTTCGGTAACCTGAAGATATAATCAATAACACAGTGTTCGTACCTACATCTCGAATTTGATGATTACTGACGTGGTAAGCGGTTTTCCACATGTAGCAGAACAATCCGGAAGTAATTATTCATAACTGCACACAGAAACTCTTAGAGCCATTCCTGATCAATGACTCAATTTTGATAGCGCGGTAAGAAATAACCAGGTCAAATACCCTTCTGAATCAAATTAAAACTGGAGTTTACGTCATAAACCACTTCCTGAGGGCGGAAGCATCGTGTATTTTCCTACATTTCACGTCAACAAAACAAAAAGTGCTAGTGGTTGAATCATATACACGATGAGTACAAAACACGCGACCAGAACGCAGGGGTAGGTAGGTTGGCAGGTCTGCATTGTGGTTTGAAGAGGATCGAATAGGCATGCACACAGCCAGAAAGAAGACTGGAGTTGAGAAGAACAAGCAGCAAGCAGACGAGCGGTTTGTCTGCCAGCATGAAGAGAGAAAGACTATAGCTAGTGTTATACAACAAACAATAACACTTATATCAACGTAGATAACACCCAAATACATGGACAGTATTTGGCTACGCATGTGAGTTGACTGACTAAAAGGCACGTACACTGCTCAAACAGACGAAATCAATGGCAAGTAGATAAAGGTACGTAAAGTCAGGCAGTCTTACTGTCACGTTAGAGGACCAATAAAAGTGGTGCAGCAAGGTTAGGGGGAAAATGTTAAGTCCAGTTGCTGGTCAAAAATCAAATCGGCGGAATGGACGATTGGAGTAGGTTGGACAAGCCACCTCAGTAAGCACTTGGATGAGGGCTAAAATTAGCTCAATCCTACAAGTGAAGTGAATTAAAGCATGTGTGGGCTAACGCATGACGTGGTGCGGAACTCATTTGATAAGCGTACTTCAGATAGACAATAAATGCAGTGGAAGCGGAACAGGTGCAACCAATAGAGGAGAAAATGGAAAAATAGACGCGTTCAGACACCAGGACGGAAAGCATAGGGGCGAAATAAAGTAGAAACCGATGTTATGGTAAAAGTCAGGTGACTGATGGAAGTCAGTGACGTTGCAACAAGTCTGTAGTGAAAATCGAACGCTGACTGTGGGATGTTGGGTCTGGAAATGGTTGAAATCCGAGGTGCACAACGGATTGGGCTCCACCAATCGAATGACCCGGTAGACAGGCAGCTGTTTGGTCCAAACTGTGGTGATGGTTAGTGGGATGAATGGAGTGTTGATAAAGATGGCTAGCTGGACGACCGGATGGGTACCTAGTTACAGAATGCTGCAGCACCAGATTGGAGAGAGGGATCGACCGGAAAAGCGCAGCCTTGCTATTCGTTTCAGCAATGTGAGACCGCAATAGAGCCCGTTGGATCTCCGTAGCATCTGCACTCGTGGAGGGAACCAGACCCTGGAGAGCGGAACCAGAGAGACAACGATGTCGGCTGCAGCCGTTCCGGAGCTTCGGACAGCGGTGTGGATCTGGATGACAGCTACCTGGAGGATAAAGTGAACGGAAGAGTCCTACTTATTAGGATAATGAAGCGGGTAAGCCACTCAAACATAAGTCGGACTTTCCATCGTTGGAATAAAAATTCTAGAGACGTGCTAACTTACTAGTTTTCCGAACAAATGCGTCGTGACAACCAGTATTGTAATTGTTTTTGTCGGTACTCGAAAAGCCCGTTGGTAACGGATGTTCACAAGTACGGTTCTTGCTGAGTGGCATCATACTACAGGTTTGGCGCCTTGTCACGAACGCATGAACTGAATTTGTTTGCCGTACTTATCTCGAGAATGTGTTGCATCGAAGCGAATCGCCTCTTTCATTACTTAGTTGCCGCTTTACTCATCCTGACAGTGAATTAATACACGGAACAATACGATGCTGTGAGGCCCGAACGTTCTTGGTCCTCTTATTCACACATGTATATTCGCCAACGCATCCGTCCCCACACTAACATTTGTTTAAGCACAATGTAGGTGGATATTATGGATTGTAAATCCTATGCTGGTCTTTGGCCTGCTGTTCCGTCCAATATGGTATATAAAAGAGCAGAGCCAGAGACAGACTACCACCGCTGTACTGACAGAGTGATTACAGAAATCTCCACATGGATGAGGGAAAACATTCGTGATGGGGTGAACTCTTAATCACTGCGTTCCGGCCAATTTAGCCCACCATCATCGCATGAATGGATGACTTCTGCTAGTATGAGGTCTTTAAGTTCCTTGTGGCTATGCTCGGCACCCGCGTTATAAATGCCCCTCGAGATACGCGATCTGCAAAAAATGTGAAAAGGGCACTTACAAAAAGTCTGCAGATTTACTGCTGGTCTGAGGATCACCTCACCCGTTTTAGGTGCAATATCTTGCATCAGTGTTGCGGTTCCCAAGGGTCTCAAAGAAGTAGTCTCCAATGGCGTTCCACATCGAGCTCTTGTTGATAATGGTAGCTCAGAAAGTTTCATTTCCTAAAATGTAGTCCGTCGTAATCAGTGACCCGTATTGTCGTCGTCATCTGAGATCCCTTTGACATCCATACAGCAGAAAAGCTTTAGTCTGGGACATTGTTTTTAAGATTGCAACATAAACGAGACATACATCCCTCTTTCAAGTTTTCAGTATCACGTGGTCTCCGTACAGGTATTTCACTAGGACATGATTTCTTAAGGTCCAAAAATCCCTGAAAACCTCATTCAATGGTGATGAATCTTTCTTGCTTTGTGGTCTAGTAAGTGTCAAAGTAGACCCTCTCATTCTGTGCACCTTGATCTCGGGTGCAAGCTCAGTGTCATAAAGTCCAGGAGATATTCTGCAGAAGACAAGGCTTTCATTGATTCTGAAGTAAAGCGCTTACTCGATCAACGAATCCTTGAACGCTCGATTCTCCGTGGAGAGCGCAAGTGCTCGTCACAACAAATGAGTGACAGAAGAAACAAATGGTGGTTGCCTTTAGTTAAACTATATACTGATTTACGCAACTGGACGCTTATCCGATTTCCAGACTTGAGGATATGAGTAGTAAAAGGGCTCAGTATCGTATTTTCAGTACACATGATCTTGAAAGTGCGTATCGTCAAATGCCTATTAAGGAAAGTGACCAAATCTACAAGGCATTTGGGCTTTGCAACAATCTTCATCAATTTTGCCGAAGTAAAGAATGGAGTACCGTACCTTGAAAAGGTAATGGACGACATAATACGCGCTGAAAAACTTACCGAGACATATGCGTATGTGGATAATGCTACCGTTTGTGGAAAGAATCAAGAAGCACACGATCAAAACCTCCAGCGCTTTCTCACCGCAGCGCAAAAGAAAGGTCTTCAGTTAAATCACGATAAAAGCACAATTTCACCACTAAACTCAGACTCTTTGGCTGAAATTACTAAAGGTATCATCAAACCAGACCCTGAACGTTTCAAGGTCTTGGAAGAACTGACCGTTCCGAAGGACGTGAAGTCTCAAAACAAGGAGAGCTTGGTTTGTTCGCATACTATTCTGGTTGGATAAGCCGATTCTCTGATACAACCTTTCCTGTCCCTGAATCAGTAATAAAAGCCTTTGAAGTCTCAAAAAAGAGTTGGTGGATGCAGCCGCGGTCACCACCGATCTGAGAATACCTTTGGTGCTCGAAAACGATGCATCCGATGTTGCGATTTCCGCTACACTCAATGAAGATGACAGACTGGTCGCATTCTTCTCACATACACTGTCTGCCAGCGGAAGACATCCCACTATTGACAAAGCGTACGCCAATAGAGGCATTACCAGTTCGGGACCTATTTCAAGGTTTTAAGCGATCAGCGATCCGTTGCGTTCATGTATTTAAAAAAGGAGAATAGAAAACGACAAAATCCAACGATGGCGGATGGAGTTATCGCCTTTTCCTTTTGATGTAACCTGCAGAACAGGCGTAGAAAACAAAGCCGCTGACACGCCCTCTCAGAGTAATTTTACCTCAGTTGGATCTAAAACCCTTACGCCCAACTGTACCATCCTGCAACAATAGGCATAATGCATTTTGTTCGTGCAAACAACTTCCCATTCTCCCTAGAGGGTATCCCACTTGTCATTGAACAATGTCCATGTTTCTTCAATCCATCTGGTGGTACACTCATTAAAGCCACGCAAACGTTTGAACGTTTAAGCGCTGACTTCAAAAGATCTCTGCCTTCGACAATTACCTACGGACGGTCGTAAATGAGCATTCCCGTTTCCCGTTCGCCTATGACTATCCGGATGTGTTCGTCTACGGTGATTGCATGTATTGTGCCGCTCTTTGCTACATTTAGCTTGCTCAGTTTTGTGCATTCGGATAGCAATCCATCATTCATTTCGGACGAGACTAGACGATTTCTTCATGAAAAAAGGCGTTACCATCAATCAGACCACTCCATTCATACAACCCAAGGGGGACAGTCAGATGGAACGATTAAATGGGACTTTGTGATAAGTTATTAAGCTTTCATTACGATCAAAAGGTCTTCTAATCAGTAATCGAGAAACTGTTTCAAAAGAGACGCTCCATTCGATTCGCTCTTTGTTGTGTACCGTCACCAATATCAGTCCACACGAGCGAGTGTTTCGTCACAATCGAAAATCGGCAATCGGTGCATCATTGCCACAGTGGATTTTTTCACCAAAACAAGCTCTGATGCGGCGAAACACACGATCTTCGAAGAGTTGAGCCCCTGGAGTGTAACACTAAGTACCCATATGTCCAACAACCTAACGACATGGGAGGAACGGTCTCCCTACGTCACCTGGTGACTTCCGCAGATTTTGAATGTGCTCCAGCATCCAAAGAGCAGCAATCACAGCTCAACAATGAGTTGTTCATTAAGCCGGAACTGTTTGGTTCTTCTGTTTGGGAAACTGAAAAACCAAACTATTCTGAATATTCGTTGGTTGTATAACAACAGTGGTCACGACCGTAGTTCTTGCGCAACAGAGAGGTCCGTATGACCGCCTACCTCTGAACTCGTCTATCTTTGGACCCGTTCAACTCTACCCATGGTCTGGGATTCACTAGTTCATCCTTTTGAGGTTTAAAGCACATCGGGTCTCTAGGCCGGATGGTCGGGTTTGAGCACTGCGATGATCCCGCGGACTACACCGGATGGAACTTTGTTCCACAACGTGCAACCATGCCAGAAAGGTTAAAGAGAAGCGGTCAGACCAAGAGCAGCGAGAGCTCGTACTACGGGTAATTCTGCTATAGGACCGTGAAGGCAGCAAGGTGTTTCCCTCAGGCGACCAGCATGTCCATATTCATGGGAGTAGCAACGCGGTCAAACCGTTGGATATCCTCAGTTCTATTGCCCGACTGCAGGCGGCGATCAAAGCGCCCAAATTCTTCAAAGCTATGCCATGCCACAACATCGTAATGCTAACCCAGCCGTCATGTCCAGTGTTATGCTTGGAAGCCAGTCTTACAACTCTGACCAATCGAATCTGGGTTACCCACAGTCGCCTTCGGTTCCCGCTTGCCAAGTGGGTGCAGGATCTCAAGTCCCAATGCAACCAGGGATTGCTTATCAAGATTTTTCCGGATCATTCGGAAAATACGCTGGCATAAGACGAAATGTTCCATCTGGCCTGTCGGCTATGCAGGCCGCTTTTAGCGGCCGAGGAAGGACGGGATAGAAGAGGTCGGACCTAAAGACTGCACACTCCGTTGACCGTACCTCCCGGTGCACCGTTAAATAATCTCAAAACCAAAGAGTCTGGGGCTGCCTAAAAGGCACCTGCTGTGCTCAGCCGCATTAGGGATGAGATAGTAGTGCCCTCTTCCCTGCGCCCTCAGGTTAGGTCAACCCCTGTAGCCGAACAGGTCAAACTATTGAGTCATCGGCTCCGGACAGGGTCCCCAAAGAACTTCTAAGTCAAAGGCTAGGCGCAGGGTACGCGCACAAAACTCTACATCATCCCATAGCCCTGTGAGTCAGACTTTTAAGTCAAGGGCTCAAGGTGGGGTACCCCAACCCCTTCCTCGATCCGGGCAACCGAGAAGTACCATTCTTCTGCACAGTTCTGTGTCCATCGATGTTCCTTTCCAACTCCTTCCCCCTACACAAGCAAACGTCGCTGGGTCAGTTGACCGTCAGTTATCTGACCAAAGGGCCTTATAGTCCTCAGTGCCTACTAACAATAGGCAAAAAAACACCTTTATGAATCCAAGAGATCATTTTTACACAGGAGCTCTTGACGTCCGTACTCTATGTCAAATTGGCAAACAGGTAATGCTCACCGAAACCTCGTACTCCCTTAAAATTGATGCATGCTGTGTCTCAGAAATACGCATGCAAAACCCAAGTGTGGTTATGCATCTCAGAACGCCAAGGACGAACTCAGGTCTTTCACATTTTTCCCTCCATGTATCTGGTGATCCAGAAGCGATGACTCGTGGAACATATGACGTGGAAGCTGCACTCAGCCCCAGAGCTGAACGCGCTTTGTTGGATTGAATCTCAGTGAACAATCGTCTTTGCGCCATCCGGCTATTCAGCTCAACCAAGTCCAACGCCTCGATATAAAAAGCGCCGCCTGTTTGTCGTGTCGGCTTATGCCCCAACAGACTACAGTTCTGACGCTGAGAAGGACACGTTTTATGGGGAGTTATCCGGGCTCATTCGTCAAGCAAGAAGCACTGACATTGTAATACTCTTGGACAATGAGTGCACAAGTCTGTCGTCTGAGATCCTTGAATCACATTCGGGCGGTCGATTTGGAATCGATGCTCGTCGCACAAACAACGGACAGCAATTCCTCCGAATGTGTGCAGATCATCAGCTGTTGCTGGCCAGTAAGGAATTTCGGCATCAACGTTCGCATCGCATAACCTGGCGGCACAAACTGCAAATCAAACGTGGATCACGTAGACATTAGCCACCGGTGGAGAGCTATAGTTCAAGACTGTCGTTCCTTCTGAGGCACACTATTTGATTTCGGTCACACCAGGGTGCATGCACGCCTGGCAGTCCGTTTTCCCTCGGGCTCTCGCTAGTCAGCAAGAAGTATGCCAATCCAATATCTTCGCAAAACTTCGAACTGAATTATGTTATGGTGCAAGACCAGCTTAATGGTTTTTGAGGGCGCTGACGGTCATATTGAGTTCTTGTGATACCGGTATTTGGTCAGCGATGGGGCTGCGTATTTTACTTCATTTAGTTTTAACAACTTTGTAAGGTACTTTTAGCCGCTGCGTAATTTGATTGTGGGCGTCTGTAGATACATTCGCCTGTCACTTCTGATGAGGTCGATGCAGTTATCTTCAAAGGACTGCATTCTCTCTCCATGCCGTCATGAAGAAACGACCTTATCGTGCTGTGACGGTTGGCGCACCTCAGCGATCCATTGAGCTATACTGGGAAGTTTCCCACGACACTCGCAGTTTCTCATACCAGATTGGTCAATGGTTAGAGGTCTGACAAACAGTCTCCTGGCCCTCCCGGTTGGGGGTTGGAACATGCGGCGACTTGTTCCGTAGAAATAGTAATACGTTTGCATTTCCCGCCAAACACCGCTGCGTTGCGGTTACGCTTTTGGGCCAAAGGCTCTGGTTGAGCACCCTAGTCGCCCTTCAGTCTAGGACAGTATCCCAGCCCTCTTACAACCATGACACATACAACTAGAAATACTCTCATGCCACATCGGCCGTCGCGTGGTGCCATCAGCCGGGTCGCCTTACTTGCTGCATGCAGCAGAGCGGGTAAGCGAAAACAGGCTACTGCTGACGCCTCCCTTCTTTCTCCTTCACATACTTTTTCTTCCCCTTCTCCCCACCCCATTATTAACTCTCTCCTTGTAGGTCCAGCACTTAGGACTGATGGCTCCGTTCGCCATGCATCGGTTTTGCGTGCAGCATCTGCTCGTCGCATAGCGCCGCCAGAAAGCCTGCTCGGAGATTATTTCAGGTGATCCGTGCGACCGGTCCCCGGAAACCACCTGTGAGTGAAACCATCAAACATCAGAATTGAATTGAGAGTATGAAGGAGATCACGAAACGCTTGGGTGCTGTCTGTGCTACTCACCTTCCAGGATGGGGACCGCGTGATCCTCACTGCGCCTGGTTGGAGACACTACAAGATATGGCTGCCAAACGATGTCAGTGGTATTCTTGTTGCCAATCTCTATCCAGATTGCCTGAGTGAATGTCTGGAGGTGTAGGCACCTCGGAATGATTGTGTTAAGCTAGCACTAAGTCCCTCCTTCGTCCACCTTTACTCTTTTCTTTACAATAAGGCTTTCAAATAAATCATGGTTGCACGGCAGCGAAGCATCGGTGTTGAACACTGATGTCGTGCTGTCGACGAGGATGATGGCAGGACCAGTCGATCGTACAGGGCGTACGTCTTCTTCATCTCCCGAGCTTCCGATATCCACGAGTCATCATCATCATCGGCTGGTGGCCACGATAGTTGTTGTCCAAAGTATTCGTCC